TTATCCTCGCAAGCAGATATAGGGTGTCTAAATTAAAGGGTGCCATGAAAAATGTTCCTGATATTACTATTATTTGTTCTTGCTTGGAAAACGTGTAATACTTTCTGTCCCATCTTATAGAGAAGAAGGAAATGTATCTGAGTATGGTTGAATAATAATGTTCGGACGACCTTGAATATCAGAAATGTAATGGGATTGTAATATAATATTTTCTATTATGGTATTTTTCCTTTGGGGTCTTCAAATAGCGTCATGAATATTTTTCATATCATTAAGGGCAAAGGAGACATTTGAGTAGCCCCCTGCAACCGTGACACCCTGTATAGTGAGTCACAGAAGTATTCGCACCCTTCTGGTCGACCACTACGAACGATTGCTATTGTTTTATTTATTTATATTACGTTGTATATTATATTTTAAACATCAAACTATACTATTATTTACACTATAATTTCAATTACCAGCACGCGTCCCAAGATCCTAATTAATTAGACTAATACGCATTACAGCTATTAAAAAGCTAATCTTGCTGTATAAAATAATAAAAACGGTAATATAGTAAGGACGTGATGCAAAAGGTAGTAAAAATAACGAAAAATAATATACATTTCTTCCAGTGCTCAAAATTTCAACGTCTCCGTCTCAGAAGACGTGAAACGTAATTACGAGACACGAGTAATCCCCTAAGCAAGGCGTATTAAGAACACGTACGTACAAGAGGAAAATTGTAATAAAAAGTTACAACGATGTCTGGCATGAAAGCTTGGAATTATGCAGAATCAATTACGCGTAGGTACAGCCTAAAATTAGAAGACGCGGGGCTAATTAGCCGAAATTAGCCGGAGCAGTAATCCAGGATAACGAGGCACGGTGAGCAATAGGAAGCCTAGATAACAACTACGGTATCTGGAATAACTATGATAATCCCGGCATAGGCAACGTGTAAAAAGTATTTTATAAGCTACGTTTCATGCATCTTCGCCTATTACGATGCAAATTGGACACGTTTCCCCCCTATCGAATTGCAAAAACATAATGATTCGCATTGCCGGAACAGAAACCTGTTTCCCAACCAGCGAACACCGACATCAGAAAAGAAGCACCTCGCCGAACTATCCCTCCGATGCACGCGTGCAAAAATGACAACTCTAATCGAGAAAGTAACTGAAAACGAATGGCGGGAAATTCGAACAGTTTTGAATTTCAATGATCTAATACTCCATCTTTTATGAAGAAAAAAGGGAGAAAAAGTAAGAAGAAAACTCTCTACTATATATACACATACATAAAGACACAGAGACAACAATTTTAATCGATACAACGGGTGAAAAGAAAATGGCGGGAAATATGTACAGTTTTGAATCTCAACAATTTTACGCTACATTCGTTACGAAGAAATAAGAAAATTTTCCACTATATATACATAAAGACATATGAACAACTGAAATCGCGAAAATAAGTGAAAAAGAAAATGGCGGGAAATATGTATAGTTTCGAATTTCAGCGATTTTACACTACATTCGTTAAGAAGAAATAAAGAAATTTTCCACTATATATATACATAATACAGACATAAAGACATGTGAACAATTGAAATCGCGAAAATAAGTGAAAAAGAAAATGGCGGGAAATATGAATAATTTCGAATTTCAAGGATTTTACATTCCATTTGTTACGAGGAAATAAGAAAAATTTCCACTGTACATGTACAAATATAGACACAAAAGCAATTAAAATTGCGAAAATGTGTGAAAAAGAAAATGGCGGGAAATAGGTACAGTTTTGAATTTTAATGACTTTTCACTTCGCCTACCATGTGGAAAAAATAGAAAAGGAAATCTTTCGCTACATAGATACATATATAAAGGTGCAGGAACAATTCTAATTGAGGAAATGGCTGAAAAGAAAATGGCGGGAGATCGGCATAATTTCAAATCTCGACGATTCTATATCCCACTTGTAATACAGAAAAAGAAAAGAAAGAAAGAGGAAGCCCTCCATTACATATACATACACATATATACGCAAAAAGAACAATTCTAATCGCGAATACGAGTGAGAAGAAAATGGCGGGAAATAGGTATAGTTTCGAATCCCAATAACCTTTTATTCCACCTGTTACAGAGAAGAAAGGAAACCTTACATTATATATACACGCATAAAGACAAAAGAACAAAAATTATAATCGCAAATACAATCAAAAATAAAATGGCGGGAAATTTGTGTAATTTCGAATCTGTGCAACACCAAACCCCACTAATTCCAAAACAAAAAAGAAAGAGACGAAATTCTTCCAATACAGCATCCATATATGCACCCAAAAACAACAGTTTCAACTACAAAAGCAACAAAGAACGAATGGCGGGAAATTGGTATAATTTCGAATCTGACAACCTCGTAATAAGAGCGAAAAAGAAAACAATTCGAACCGCGAGAGCTAAAACCAAAGAGCAGGAAATCGGTACCATTTTCGAAGCCCGGCGACCCTAACCTCAACAAAGGAAAGCAAAAGGAAAGCGAGAAAAAGGACGGAAGAAAATCTCTTTAACGAGCAACTTTATGTCCCTTCGCTACGCGTCTGCGAGCCGTAAATAATTCTTAAACATCGTAATCAGCGTACCTAATTACCGTGCACGCCTTAATAACACCGTCTACGTTTATTAAGGCTGCCAGAGGGGCTTGGCCCTCTGGCGGGACGCTCGCGAACCAACGGCACGAGTCACGCGGCGCCAGACACCCGCTCGATCCCTCGCGAATCCGCGCCGACGACCACGGGGAGCCGAACGGAACCGGAGCGGAGATTTTATCCGCGGATCCGCGGACCGTGGAAAATTTATCCGTTTTTACACGCGTTATTACCCGCGGTCCGCGCGACTCGAAAACGCGCTTATTAGCGGCCGGCTAATCGGTCCGTCGTTCGATAAATGAAAACGGGAACGTCTGGATCCAGCCAGTCGGCTAATCGGCTAAAATTCCGCCTCCTCCGACCTACGCGCGTTTAACGCCATTAATATGCCGATATTAAACGCTACCAGACGACGGGGTTGAACCGGCTGAAGCCGGGCAGCCGCCATATTAAGCGTGCAAGGCTCGCCATATCGGCAAGTGGGAAATCTGTGTACGTTCCCGGTTGATGAACGAGATATTGCAGGATTCGGTTGATTGCAAAGGCAAGCTGTGTGCATGTACAGGATGAGTGGCCGTCGAATTTATAATTTGTAAATTGCAGTTTGGAATTTTATTAGAAAGGGATTATTAGGAGTAGGCTAGGTTAGGATAGGTTGAATATTTGTTTCATTTTAAACATTTTGGGGAAATTTTTGTTGAATCAACGATGTCATTCAGATTTCACAATCCCTGTTCTGGACATAGGCTTTTTCTTTTAGAGGATCCTAGAGTCAGTTGATGAACGAGATATTGCAGGATTCGGTTGATTGCAAAGGCAAGCTGTGTGCATGTACAGGATGAGTGGCCGTCGAATGTACAATTTGTAAATTGCAGTTTGGAATTTTATTAGAAAGGGATTATTAGGAATAGGTTAAGCTAGGATAGGTTGAATATTTGTTTCATTTTAAACATTTTGGGGAAATTTTTGTTGAATCAACGATGTCATTCAGATTTCACAATCCCTGTTCTGGACATAGGCTTTTTCTTTTAGAGGATCCTAGAGTCAGTTGATGAACGAGATATTGCAGGATTCGGTTGATTGCAAAGGCAAGTTGTGTGCATGTGCAGGATGAGTGGTCGTCGAATGTACAATTTCTAAATTGCAGTTTGGAATTTTATCAGAAGGGGGTAGGTATAGGGTTAGATTAGGATAAGTTGAATATTTGTTTCATTTTAAACATTTTTGGTAAATTTTTATTGCATCAACCATGTCATCAGCATTTTACAACCCCCGTTCTGGACATAGGCTTTTTCTTTTACAGGACCTTAGGGTCAGTTAGTCTATTTGCAGTTGATAAACGAGGTGTCGCTGGATTCGGTTTATTGCAAGGCAAGCTGTGTGCATGTACAGAATGAATAGTCGTCGAATTTACAATTTGTAAATTGCAGTTTGGAATTTTATTAGAAAGGGATTATTAGGAGTAGGCTAAGTTAGGATAAGTTGAATATTTGTTCTATTTGAAACATTTTTGAGAAATTTTTGTTGGATCAATCATCAAGGTTTTACAACCCCCGTTCTGGACATAGGCTTTTTCTTTTACAGAACCTTGCAGTGCAGTTACATTCGTTTAATAATACAGTGATGAGCAAAATTAAACTCGCGAGAAAATTGTGCCAAAGGATGCCATATCGGTGTAAAATGTTTGAAATCAACATTTTCGATTAACTTGTTTCTCAGGATAGTACATATAAAATGTTTCCGAAATTATTCAAACAGTTTTCCCATTCCTGGAATAATAAAAATTTGTGGACCACAATTTCATTCATATTCCTAGAATCGAAGATCTGATTTAAAATGCAACATCGTGGGTTTGTACAAGATACCAAGACGATACATATGCATATATACAACTTAGGTTTAAGGGATGAAATCCTGGTCCAAAGATCGTTTCGCAAATAAGCTACTTCATTTTCAAAAAACCTTGCTATATATATTCCACATAAAATCATCGAAATAAATATCCCAATCATGCTACCTAACCATCCCAATCTCGCAGCATTCCAGAAGACCTGAAACGTCCAATTCGCACCTACGACCACCCTCAAACCAGCAGCAGCCTGATCAGAAACGAGAAATTTCCCAATAAATAAATCTCTCCGCTTTCCCAGGGTAGGGTGAGTAAAATTCCAGATACAGGGGTCTAAACAACCGCAGTCTGAACAGTCTAACGCAAACAGAACGGCGCAAACTTGAGAGGTCGCGGAGTTTAGTCGGGCCAGTTCGGCACGACCGACTGTACACCCCCGAGGAGCGAGAATAATACAGGGAAACCCGTTAAATATTCCACGAGACGAGAGAGAAAGAGAGAGAGAAAGAGAGAGAGAGAGCTCACCTGCTCCGGGTCGCGCAGGTGAAGGGCGGTGTGCGCTCCGTACGGACGTTCCTCGCCATCCGGAAGCTGCAGCCGCGGGGGTAGGTCGAGGGCGAGGTCCTGCCGGACACTTCCTCCGCCGTGACCGCCGCTGCCTACCTCCATTCCTGGGCTCACCGACAGCATCTGCGGACCAACCGAGGTTCTGGTTAATTTTCCTTCGTCTCCTTTTTCCGCTCTCTTTTCGCTTTTCTAACCGTCGCTGCTTGTGTTACGCGGCGGTAATAAGGGTGAGGGGGTCGCCAAGGGTGGGATCGGTGTTTTAATTCTTCGTGGCTTTTCGTGACGGTGAGAGATGATCTGTGATGATCTTGGGTAACGTGTTGTTATGGGGAATGTTCGTGGTAATTTTGGACAGCGATTGCAATTTGTAATTGCCCTTTTTTGCGATATTGTGATAATTCGAGAATTAAAATTTTGTAGAATGGCACGTGGTAATTTTGGACAGCGAATGAAATTTGTAATTGTCTTTTTTACGGTATTATGATAATTGGAAAAAGAGAATTTTGTACAATGGTATATAGTAACTTGGAATAATTTTTATGCGATGTTCTCTGATATTATTTTGGGGGTAGTTAGGTTGCAAAGGGTGGGATCGGTGTTTTAATTCTTCGTGGCTTTTCGTGACGGTGAAAGATGATTTTGGTGATGATCTTGGGTAACGTGTTGTTATGTGAAATATACGTGGTAACTTTGCAAAGCGATTGTAATTTGTAATAGTATTATTGTAATGATGTAATAGTATTAGTATTATTAATAATGTAATAGTATTATTGTAATAATTGGAAAATGAGAATTTTGTAGAATGGTATATAGTAACTTGGAATAATTTTTAAGGGATGATCTCTGATATTATTTTAGGGGTAGTTAGATTACAAAGGGTGGGATCGGTGTTCTAATTCTTTGTAGCTTTTAGTGACAATGAGAGATGATTTTGGAGATGATCTTGGGCAATGTGCTGTTATGTGGAATATATATACTAATTTTGTAAACCAATTGTAATTTGTTGGAAGATATAATAATTTGAGAAAATTTCGTAAAACGATAGTAACTTGGAACAATTTTTGCAGGATGACTTTTGATATTATTTTGGAAATGGTTGAGTTGCTTGTATAAAATGGGGGTTAACAGGGGTAAAAGAGAGTAGGATTTCCAAAGGGGTGAGATTTTGTATCGGTGTCCAGCAATTGTAATTCATTGAAAGGTATAATAGTTTTATTTTTGAGAATTTTAAAATAAGCAGGTTTGCAATCTGTGATATTATTCACTTCGTTTTCACCAATAATTAATTCTCTCCCTATTCTATTGTATATACGAGATATCCTACATTAGTATGTGAGAAGCATGACAAGAAAAATTTAATTCTTCGAAACGAGAAAATATAACGTATACCCAATTCCCGATAATTATTTCTAACAGTATCATGTATTATACTAACAATAAACTTACCATGGTCTGAATCACCGTTTCTAAAACTCGTTTACTATCTTAATTACTCATCTTTACGATTTTTCTTCCAATATACGTACAATTATTTCTCCATTTTTTAAAAATTCTAATTTTCTTTTCATTCACCGGTTATATGGCCACGACAGGCTTAATATTGGCGTATAATAAAACTGGTATATCGAACAGATCTCAAAATTATGGAATTTCGTGTCCTTTTCTATATTCTACTTCACCCTTTTCGGCTCGCGAAGGGTGGTTCTCGGTTCCACGTGGGCTAACAGAGTCGGCTGTTCAAGGTGGTTCATGGTTCGAAGGACTGATGGATGGGAGTTCGTATCGAGCTGTAATTGGGAAAGTTTATTCGACGATGAGCGAACTTTGAATCCGAGAAAGTTTCCGGAGGAAAGACTTATCCGTGTATCTAGGAATTATATTCGTTTAACCCCTTCGCGTCCGCCTGCTTCTTTCCAAACGTCCAATTAACCGGAGATCCCGCGAGGAATTAAATGAACCGATTCGGCTACCTGTTTCCTAGTTTCTAAATCGCATAAGTGTCCAAAGGCGTCGACGCGAACGTTGAATCGTAGCTTGCATATTGAACGTGTATTAAATGTGTACACGCAATCGACATCAATTATACATTTGCTCGTTGATTATGATTCTATCGTTATGCCATTACCGCGGACATCTATTCGAACGCTTAATCGTGTCCATTATTGTCACCATTCGAATCGTGTTTACCTTGCGCTCTGAATTCTTTCACTCCTCAACTGGGTTGTACTTTAACACTTTAATGGCCGCACGTTAACGTTGCCAGGAACCGGCAATATTTTTGAAGAATTAATTTAAAAAGACTCTATTTAAAATTCACGAAATAATACAACATGTGCGAACATACACATAAAACAGAAAACAATAACAATTTAACAACAAATTTCATATTTCTCCTTTGTGTGATAATTATTAATTATTAATCAGCGGTAGCATCATACACGTGTGATTGGTCATTAAAGTGTTAATTAGGATTCGATAAAAATAATGTCAATCTTGATCAATTCAATTTTATTAAAAATTAAAAATCTTACCAAATTTATTCGTTTAATTGAACAGTAATTTCGTTATTTTTAATATAAATTAACTGTAAAAGAGATTTATTGAATAACGTATTGATCATCAAAGTACTATATTTATAATTAAAATATTTTAAAAAAGGTAGTTAATTAATTATAAATTATGTGAGAGTAAATAATTTATTTCAAACACAAAGACACATTAGGTAACAAGCTAACATTATTTTCCCAGTTAACAAGCAACCCCTAAAAACCTACCCTTAGAACTCAACAAGAACTCTAAAAGTCTGCAACGACTCTGTAATATCAGATGCGTGCAGGTCTCTCTCGTATCCATATCCCGTTCGACAAATTCAATTTCCCCTAGCAATTAATAATTTATCAACCACCTGCAGTTGCCGCGAGCATACGCGTTACGTAACAGAAATAACTAGAAGGGGACAAGTTTAACCGGGTCCGCGGAGGGTTGGACACGTTTAGACGACTACTAAAATATCGTCGTTCCAAGCGTTTCATGGAAACTAGCGACAAACCTTCGCCACAAACTCCAACATCGTCGTCCATATAACAGGACCGAACTGGGGGTGGTTTTTCCCACCAACATTTTACTCACAAATCCTTGGCTATTTATAAGCGATTTTTCAATATATTAATTACAACAATAGAAACTGATAATGAATTTTGTGACACAATACTCTGTACAGACTAAAACAAGAAAGTATTATTTATCACCAAACAAAGGTATTTCTCTATTAAAATCATATCTGCATTCCGTATCTTACATATCAGAATAATAGAACACCAAATATAAAATTTCAATTTGTCCTATATAGGTAAAGAAGTAGTAGAGTAAACACTTTCGAGAAACGCGGATCAAGTCAACGTCCACCTAGCGGCGAATCCAGGAAGTTCCCTGCAGTACGAACAATATATAACCTTAAAAATAGAGCGTTTAATATTGAAATCTATTATACTATCGAGTTTTACATATATAATAATTATACAAGCTCGTAATAAGTATAATACGATCACTATCATACTAACGACAGTAATAGTAAAAATAATAGTAATAATAACAGTAATATCTTCGTTTGTCGTTGGAAATAACAAATGATACACGAAAGGAATAAAACAACCTGATCATCCTGCACAACCGAAGATGTTAAGCGTAACAGCGTCTTCCGGCGTCGGTTTACGATCGTGCCCTGGATCGTATCCACGGAATAAGAAGCGATACGAACGCAATCGGGATCGATGGTGGGGCGGTGGGTCGAATGATCCGTCGCGTTTGTCGGGTATAAAATTTTCACGGAACCGGTCCGATTTATTGGCTGGATTGAAAATTTCGAGTCGACCCGCAGTAAAACGGACACGACACCGTCGCGACGCGATTGCCGGCGATCGAGAGCGACAGGTTATGCGCGATTGCCGAGCGAGTCGCGAGGGAAGTCAGGGTCGGAGGTGTTGCCTACTCGACGGCGCTGATTTATGAAACTCGAAGACGGGAAATGATCACTCCTGGGTCGGAATTTTGATTTTAGCCACGATTTTTTTTTTTTAAGTGCTTTATTAATTTAATTTTTACTCCGAGAACTGAAAATTGAAAAATATTTGAAACTATTTTATTGAGAAATAATCACTCTTGAATCGAAATTTTAATTTTAGCTACGATTTTTTTTTTTAATTGCTGTATTAATTTAATTTGTTACACCGAGAACTGAAAAATGAAAAATATTTAAAACCATTACCGGCAAATGATTACTCCTAAGTTGGAATTTTGATTTCCGTCATGATTTTTCTTTTCTACGTTGCTTTATTAATTTAATTTATTATTCAGAGAATTGTAAATTTCCAATTAGACTGAAAATTGGAAAATATGTAAAATAATTATCGAGAAACAATTACTCGTGAATTGGAATTTTGATTTCCCCTATGATCTAGTTTTTAATTTTTATTTACATTGCTTGGGTTATTTGATTTGTTATTCCGATATCTATAAAATATTTAAAATAATTATTTATTATTATATATTTATTTATGTACTCGTAATTTTATTGAAATAAATTTTCTCGTGCGATATTTATTATGTTTGTAATAACGATAAATTATTAATAAATAAAGAGGTATATTGCAACAAATTTATTTTACAATTTCCGAAGGCTACTCGACTATTTTATTTAAGTTTTCCCGAAGTCATTGAAAATATTCAATTGCTCCTAGGAAAATCCATTAAGACCTGTATCGATATGGAAATATAATCAGGTATAGCTGTTTATTTCCATTATCCTATCTTAATTTTTATTATCTATGTACATCCTGTATAGCTATACGTTACAGATCGATGGTTTAGTGTTAATAGCATAAGGCCACTTTGTCAATTAACCTACTTATGTCCATTATTCTACCAAGGTAATTTTTTTTCGCAATTTCTAACAGCTCCACATCCTCCTCTAAGCAATGTTTCCCATTTTCTAGAAAACCAGATAGTCTCAATACGAAAGTTTCATTTACACGTTCATTAAAAGGAAAATAACCTTATTTCGAGAACCATCGCTCGTTTTCCATTATAAATTGAATTTCCACCAG